GAGTGGTACTAAGTACCTGACCAGGTATCCGTTTTGGTTCATGTACTACAGGGCACCAAAGTTGACGTTTGATCACATCCCATGGTGGCTTTGTCATGGGCCTGCTGGGATTTTCGCCTTAAGTTCCACTTTTGGAATCTCAGTATTTTCCATTACCTGGAACGGATTCGCTCCATACTGGTATCTGGGCATGGCGTCCGACGTTTCGGAGTTGAGTAAAATTTGTAACTGGGGACATGGGAGCAGTTAATGAATGAAATGAAAATTAATAAATTAGTGATGGACCTTTTAACTGAAAACGTGAAGAAAAAGGCCCACTATAAAAACTTGCACTGGAAACTATGTATAAAGACTTACGTTTGACACGATTGTGGATAAAATATTTTTAACTATTTTGAATGATCAGCTCTATTCGCTTTAACATTGCTCCAGTTTCCATTCCTAGCCTTTTGGTGCAGAGGCACGATTTCGGCAAAGTGATACCGGCAAAACAGCGGAAACAATCGCGGAATCGCGCCGAGTAATAATTAAATGAATTATGCAATGAGATCCAAAACGGGCCGCTACACCATCTCTCGTCTCCGTCGCCGCCCGCGACGTGTCTCCTCTCTCTCGGCGCGGATTCGACGGTCGCGCCAAATTAAATTCCACCTCAAACCATCTTGAAGTTAGATGATTGACTAAAATTAAATTTAAGAACTTAAACGCGTTAAACTTTCCCCTTTTCACTCCATCAACTTGACTCCCGTATAAATTGTTCAACCTGATTTTGTTAGCAGGCAATTTTTAACAACCGTCGAATAAATTGCCGCCATTTATTTAATATGCTTTAATAAATTCCAAATTATTTTAACACCGCAGCACAATTTCGGGGTCCGCCTTCCTCCTCTGTCAATTAGATTAACACATAAACTTAAATGACTGTTGTGTTCTTCCGTTTTTAGAAACGGTTGCAAACAGACAACCGTTAAATCTCAGTAAAGGAAAATGGAGCCATGTCGGCTGCCTAGGAAGCATAAGAACTTATATACAGGGCATCCGGTAGATATCTACTAAAGCCTCGAATGTACAGGGGAAATATCAAAATATGTAATAAACACTGGGGCCTTCTTCTAATACTCCTCCTAACAGAGATGCCAGATTTGGGTTATACAGGGTGTTTCAGGATTAACAACCTTTAAGGAGACATTCCTCATAAAAAAATAAGAAAAAAATCAAGTATAATTTTTTTTCCAGAGACGCTTTACTTTCGAATTATAGGGCGTTAAAAATTTTTAAAAAAATTCTAATTTTTTAAATAACTTCTAAATGAAGAAGGCTATTTAAGACAAATTTGGCATGACACATCTTCTTATAAAATACCATTTTTCCATAGAAGTAGAAGTCCCGCAAGCAACCAGTGGCGGAGTTATGGGGACTCAGACTCATTAAATTATAAAAAAAAATGAATACGGCAATACTGAAAATAAAAAATGATGCTGTTTTTAGTTAGAACAGTTTGTTATTGACAAAAAGTGTACATTCACTTTTTTCCTAACTCTTATAGTTTCATGGCAAAATTGGTTTTTCGGAAGGGTGCTTCTGGATTCTGTCGATAAACTTTAGGAAGACGTTCCTCATAAAACCTAAAAAAATATAGTACCTATTAAAATTGGTCTTAGTCTTAAGTATGTGTGAGTCAAATAAGCCTTTTTGTCTCCCCTTCCTTTGGGTTTAACCAATAGTATTAAAATTATTTAGGAGATGCTTCGTTTTTGAGATATAGGGTGTTTAGAAAAAAAAATGATGTTGATGAAAACAATAGAAATATTTAAGTACCTAACATCTAATGTTACTATGTCGTAATGCGACAACGTAACGACCCTTGCAATACTCCTAAATTTTTTCAGGCGGTTTCTAGTCACGTCATTTACTTGTGTTGCTTACTTTTAAATAAAATAAGATGGCAAACAATACATGAAAATTTATTTGTAAATTGAAATAACCAAAAAATTACCAATTAATATTATACCTAGACAAAGCGAAAAGTGAATAAAAAATGAAATGATTTAAAAAATATTTTGTTCAAAATGGGCGGCTCCGGACTGTAGACAAGCACGACATCTTCTAATTATGGAGGTAGTGGCCGATCGACACTGAATTGGAGTTAATTCTCGACATGCTTGGACTATTCGCTGTCTTAGATCTTCTAGGGTATCAACTGGCACCTCGTAGACTTTCTGTTTAACAGCACGCCAAACGAAACAATCCATCGGTGTCAAGTCCGGCTTGACTAAGACCAATTTTAATAGGTCTTCCTAAAGTTTATTGACAGAATCCAGTAGCACCCTTCCAAAAAATCAATTTTGCCATGAAACTATAAGAGTTAGGAAAAAAGTGAATGTACACTTTTTGTCAATAACAAACTCTTCTATCTAAAAACAGTATCATTTTTTATTTTCAGTAGGGCTATTTTTTTATAATTTAATGAGTCTGAGTCCCCATAACTCCGCCACTGGTTGCTTGCGAGACTTCTACTTCTATGGAAAAATGGTATCTTATAACAACATGTGTCAGGCCAAATTTGGCTTAAATAGCCTTCTTCATTTAGAAGTTATTTAAAAAATTAGATTTTTTCTAAAAATCTTTAACGGCCTATATTTCGAAAATGAAGCGTCTCTGGAAAAAAATTTATGCTTGATTTTCTTCTTATTTTTTTTTATGAGGAATATCTCCTTAAAGTGTGTCGACTTAATCCTGAAACGCCCTGTATATTGTCTGTCTAAATGCAAAACAAATTTTCTTCTGCACTGTACAAAACTCTCCCTTGTTCGCAGTTGTAGTTCCACTTCCGAACTACGGATTTTTCTCTTTAAATTTCAAACCGCTTTCTACACTTTTTGCAAATTAAATAACCGCCCCCGCGAAGTGAACATTCCAAAAGTAACCCGGAACATCTCGCTCATGTCAGATTTCATTAAAACTACAGGAGGAGCAAACCCGGATCGCCGCGGCGTCGCGTAATTCGTTGTTTGAAATGAAAACACCGTTTTATTAAATAGCCGCCTCGAAATTAGTTAAGAAAATATGCGCGACTCTTTGTAAAAACATTACAAATTAAACGACAAAGCTCGACTAATGGAATTAAGGTTAGGAAAAGGCCGGACAAACGAGGGTAAATAGAATTAACACCCAATGTGTTGTTCTAACACTTTCAAGCAACTACGCTGAGAACGGGCCGGGAGAAGTAAGGAGCCGGAGGGAGGATCGACCACTTGAATAATGAATAAAAGGATAATATTATTCTTTACGTATTAGCGGAATGTGGAATCGTTTTGTAGATGTTTCTTTTAGAATTTTAATTTTAAATTGCTACCGAATTGGAAAAAAAACTGACTGAGGCACTTTGTCCAAATGTGGACATATTTTAATATACAGAGTAAGTCAATATTAAGCGATTTTGATAAAAAAAAAATAAAAAATTCGAAGATAAAAAAATATAATTAAACATCGACACGTTACTACGAAAACATGCTATCTCAGATCTTTAAGAAAAAACATGCTCTCTCACACAAAATTACGTTTGACTAGAAATTTAAGTTGGCTGCATTGGCGCTGAAATGCACATTGAATGATTGAAATCGTACACTTATAATAAACTTATATAATACATTTTTCAAAAAGTAAGGAATATTTATGTTCAGGTACACTGTTTATTTCATTTTTTTTCATTCAACATTTTTCAATTTATTTTGTTAACTTACTGTTACAAACGACAAATTGTTAATTAAAAAAATAGAATAATATGCAGTGAGCTGCAACACGTACATTACTCGACGTTTTTCGAAATAACAAATTATAAAAAAATAGTGTATACCTTAAAATATAAAAATGGTTATTATTACTAAAAAATATTCGATTTTTTTCATACAAGTTCGCTTTGATATAAAAATTAATGGCTTCTTAAAGGTACGGTAGGGTAGCCTCGTGCTTGCATAGAATTGAAATGAAATGCAGGTATGCGACACTTTTATTACCAGTACTTTATGATCTGCTGGAAATCGATGCGACGGGCACAGAGCAGCTGATATGCACGTGCACAGTTCCGCGGCTCCCCATGAACACATGTTTATCGTACATATCATTCAACTTTATACACTTTATTTATATTCTGGTTATTATGTTAACTCTATTCATGAAATGTTATGAATAAATGATATTTTTCTACAAATTGTTGCATCTTGTTCTTATTTGAAAAGTAACGATTGTAAAAACCGTTATTTCACAAAACAATTGAAACATTTTTGATATTTTTAATTATGTATAAGACAAAGATGTGTGTAAAAAGCAAGACTTTATCTGAATGCAAGTTAAGAGCAATTGCCAAGACAATCCTGGTATAGCTGCTCTACATGGGCATATTGTCCAGGTAAGAACGATTCGGAGATAGCATGTTTTTTCTTAAAGATCTGAGCTAGAAAGTTTTCCAAGCTTAATTTGAGATAGCATGTTTTCCCAGCTCAATCTGAGGTAGCATGTTTTCCACACACAATTTTCGATAGCATCTTTTCCAAGTACAATTTTAGATAGCATGTTTTCGTGGTAACGCGTCGATATCAGCTGACGCTCCCTATGGTTAGAATTAAAATATAATTTTTACATGAAAAGGCTTCTTTTAGATAAACAGCAATCAGAACAATTCAAAAAAACAATGTCAAAGGACCATCTGTAAAGAGACCTACCTCCCTCATTTTTTGATAAGACGATTTATGACAAATCGATATGAAATCATTCCTAGATTTTGTTGTATTCGTTTGTCGGTTTAGTTTCCGATTACCCTGTATAATGTTTAAATCTATTATGTCAATTTGTTATATATTTTATATTTGTTTTCAAAAAATAGAAACCCACCACCACAGAGAACAGAAAATACAGTTATAGATTTCACCAAACTGTGCTAGTTACAGTTTCAAACGCCCAAGTTCGGGATATACACTCATAAAAAATCCAAAAACTCTTACCTGCTTGGTAACGGAGTCTATAAGCCTCACATATATGTCCTGCTCCTGTCGAACGCCTGAAACAATAAATCGTCCTTAGTCCTTAGCCCGATATGGCAGTAAAAGCTTATTACGCTATTCCCGTACCCTCGTACGAGTTTTGAACATTTCTATTAGCAAGTTTTGGTTCGGTATTACTTGGTTATGTCTATCTTACGACTGTCGGGCTGTTATTACTACACAGTCACGCCATCTTGTCAGGCTTACTAGGTCCATCTCCTGAATCATTAAAATGGTAATATCGAAGTTTATGGAGCGACGTTTGGACCGGACGGCTTCCGTGAAACTGAAAGCAGCGTCTTCATGTTTTATAAATAAATAACACTGAGTCAATAAAAACGCATATGCCATTCAAATTTAAGAACAATTTTGAGAATCTCGTATAAATTCGCAGGAGAAAGACTAAGTAAATTATCAAAAATAAAAACAAAAATACTTGTTTTTACGTTTATACAGGGTGTCCCGGTAATCGATACAAAAAAGTCGAGTACACATAGATGAGGTCGAAATAATACGGGCCTTCGTTAACAATTACGGGCCCTGAAAAGTGAAAATTAAAAAGTTATTTTTATTTACAGTCTTGAAACTGTTAACTTCAGCGTGATGCAAATTTGGTACATGCGTATAGCTTGATTTTGATGTAAGTGAAACTTCATTCTGCCCAGAACGCCAGGGATGGTATATGCCCAATGGTTAACAACCCAGAATTTTTGCATAGATGACGATCGCGATTTGCCTGTATCAAAAATAAGTTCCTTGAAGGATTTTCCAACGATAATACTCTCTTTAGGAAATATTTATGATTTTGTGTCACAGTGCACATCGAGCGGCGCCTCCACCATTAATTAAAATGGCCAACCCTAATTATTAGGAGCCAAACTTATCGATTATTGAGATAAAAATGAGTATTGAGTAGTACGACCAGACTCTACATCTTCACACTCGATATTTTTTTTGTGTGCGCCGGCGCCGGTGTAGTTATTCAAATAATCGCATTATTTAAGAATGAAAATAAAGTATCATTTATAGCTTTCCTTTATCGTTTTTTACGCTTGAAATAAACTATGTTTCTTTTTTTTTAATTTCATACTAATATCGAAAACGAAGCATTTCTGAACACTTGTGTTAATTTGTGAATAAAAATCCGTCATTAATGAACTTTCAAACATTGCGGTTACACCTTGTCTACACTAAAGAAATTCCACTCAAATTTCACTCAATTTCACTCAATAATATATCAATTTCTGTCCACACCCGATTGAGTGAAACTTTCACTCTATTATTATGTATGAGTACAACTGAGTGAAAGTATTGCATCAGAAATGCGTGAGTTTTACCCAAATCCGAGTTACTGCTAATTCACAGCCACACAAAAAAAAAGTTGGGTATACTTTTTATGCGACATATATTTTTCGTAGTAATTTGGCCTCCTGAACACGAATCTGGGATCAGAATTGGCCCATCACATCACAGTGTTTTTTCCTAACCTCAAAAAACTTGTGAAAAATAGTAAAAATTGATGAAAATTTACTGGGAAAATTTGAAAAAAAAAATTATTTCCACATCAAATAGTACATTTTTATGTAAAAGACTCTGCTGAATTCAAATCCACTGTCAGAATTGAACTAGAACGTGTGTCTTTTTTCTAACCTCAAAAAACCGAGCAGGAATCGCTATTTTCAAATTCTGAGCGGATTTTGACCAGATTTTGTATAAAGGGGTTTTTTGGGTCGCTGATTACGAATATGAATTCACATTGTAAAAATTCAAGATGGCTGATCCAATATGGCGGGGGGACTTTTTTGAAATCCACCGATTTCAGTAAAATTTGGCATCACAAGGATTCCTGGTTGATCTCACCTTCATTGATCACACATCTGGAGCCAGATTTTCATAAATCAAGGTAAAAGATTCCACTCCGTCTAAAAATGTGACTTCGCTTAAAAAAATGACTTAAGGACTCTACACATGTAATGATGTGTAATGTAATGTTGAACAGTTTACTAATGACTTAAATAATTTACCACTGCATAATTTGTTTTATATTGAAAATGTAGAGCGCAAGGTTTGTTATTTCAATGATTGCTTAACTAACTTATTTAATATACATGCACCTTACAAAACTGCAAAAATTTCAAGGCAACGTAAGTCATGGATGACTGATAACATTGTATTATTAATCTCTCTTAGAAATAAAGCTAAATCAAGATTCAGACAATCTAAATTGGATGTACATTGGAACTATTATAAACAACTAAGAAATTACACTAAGATTGCAATTGAAAATGAAAAGCGAGCATATTTTAACTTGAAATTTAGAACAAATGATCCTAAGGATATTTGGAATGGCTTAAAATCTTTAAACTTAAAATAATGTAAAGATAGTAATTTACCAATTCATCTCAGAGATCCTAATATAATAAATAATCATTTTATCAATAGTATACCAGTTTCAAATTATGATAATGGTCGTTTAATAAATTACTATGAAAATAATACATATAATAATATTCCTGCAAATTTTGAATTCTTATTAGTGGACGTAAATACCGTTTCTAAATTTTATATTCTATTAAAACAAATGCCATGCCAGATGATATAAACCTGACGATGTTGAAATACTGCTGTCCCTATATTACCCATATAGTAAATATATACCTATCCAATGGAAACAAGCCAATGTCATACCTATTCCAAAAATTACTAATCCTTTAACACTATCTCACTTGCGTCCTATAAGTATTTTGCCTACTTTATCGAAAATTTTGGAACGGGTAATATATACACAATTAATATACCATTTAAACAAGCATGAGATTATTCCACCAATTCAATCTGGATTTAGGCGAGCTCACAGCTGTACAACTGACTTACTGAAAGTGACGGATGATATTTTTTAAGCATTTGATAATGGTAAAATTACTGCTCTAGTACTATTAGACTTCACCAAAGCATTTGATACAATTCAAAATTAATTGCTTATTACAATATTTTATTTTATTGGATTAGGTGAAAGAGCGGCTAGTTTCATGTCTAGCTACATAGGAAATCGTACACAAAGCGTAATAATTGAAAATGCATTGTCAAATGTGACCTTGCTTAAAGTAGGCGTCCCTCAAGGATCTATTCTAGGACCCCTATTATTTTGTGTATATACCAGTAATCTCTGTAAAAGCTTGAAATATTGTAGTCCGCACATGTATGCTGACGATACAGAATTGCATTTATCTTTCGATAAAACTAACTGTGATGAGGCATTGAACAGAATTAATTCAGATCTTAAAATTGTCTCTCAAATATCAGAAGAACATTCCTTATTTTTGAATCCATCCAAGTCAAAGTTCATTTTGTTTGGTAATAAATTAGCGATATCTGAAATCTCCGATAATTTTAGGGTTGTGATTAATGACATTTTTGTTCCTATAGTTCATAGTGCTTCTAACTTGGGTCTGAGTTTTGACAATACATTTAGATTCTGTTCACAAGTTAGTAAGTATATACAAAGATCATACATGGCTTTGAAACTGCTCTATCCACATAGAAATTATTTATCCGTAGGAATAAAAACGCTACTTTGCGAAACCCTTATCTTGTCAAATTTTTCATACTGTGCCCCTATTTATTATCCATGTATGTCTTAATCAAAAAGAGAATACCGATATGTCAGAATTCATGTCTAAGGTACAAATTTGGCATTCGACGCAGAGATCACATTTTTCATAAATTACAGGATTTGAAATGGTTAAATATGAATAATCGTCTAAGATTAAAACTTTGAGCCTATATCATCAAATAGTACAAAAACTCTCTCGTATCTGTATAACAAAATTCGCTTTCGTACTGGTGTACACAATATACACATTAGAAATAAGCATTTTATAACACCACCTTCACATAAAACTAGTTTCTGCGAACGATCATTTACTTATAACATTTCAAAACTTTACAACGCACTGCGGCGCACGGCAGCTTCGATATGAAAGGTACAGCTCGCTGCCGCACCAGGGACGGTGAATTTGTTTAAACCTTCATGTGAAAAATTGTTTTTCAATTGAAAACGTAGTGTTTTAGACTATCCGTTGTTTAGTAAAAGTTGTTCATTTTGGTACTCTCTATCATCCTTTTTCAGGAAGGCACTTATTTCAGAAACACCCTGTATAGCCGCAATTATCTCATTTAAAAAAAGAAACGGACTCATCCCATTCTTGTACCAGCACGAAGGAAAAGGTACGAAATCGTCGGTAGTGTATCTGTTTCTTTTTCTGTTATACTAGTACTATTTCTACCTATTTTTTTTACAATTACCATCACAAAGGGATTGTACGCGGGAGCGCAATGGCTCCATCTGGCGTGCGGATTCCCAACTATGCCATTCAAATGGCTACAGTAGGAAGCGACCTGCTAACTGCAGGTACTTTGTTGCACGACTGCCACCCACAGAGGGCGTAACACAATGTTTGAATTGTCAGTGTTGCGAGAAACAACTACTCCGAGAGCCATATGCCCCTACCGGCATTGAATTATACTCGCAACACCTAGTGCAACAGTTAGGATCGTTTGTCAGTTTAACCCACCAGGAACAGACCGGTTTCGGACTTATTAGTCCTCATCAGTGTGTCATAGGTACGACAACCGACAAACGACCCAGCTGTTCTTCGTCGTATCGTCACGACAAGGAAATACACTGTACGCGAGAGCGCAATAATATTTTTGTGTGTTGGATATTATCTCAGAGAAACACAGATTCAGTTGTTGCCTTTATTATAGATGAATGCCAGCACATTCACCAACATTTCTCGCAACTTCTAGATCCTCACGTAACATAAAAATAAAAAGTGTAAAGTGACTTCGGAGCCCCGGCAAAGGGTTTATGGTATTCGCGACGCTTCCGTCATTAAATCTTGGGGCCATATAAAAATTTATCACGCCCCTCACCCGGAATATGAAATGTGTGTCGTGTAGCTTAAGAGATTCCCCTGTAAAATATCCCCGACACACGCGGAACGGCCTTATATCT